GGAAGGGAAAAAAAAAAAAAAAAAAACGTTAAAAACATAATTATAAAAAAATAATAATAATAAAAGATCAAAGTTCATAAAGGAACATACTGTCAAAAGAATTGCAGTATCTGCTCCTTGAGAATCCTTGTATGTAACATAAGCAACCTGAGTATTTTCAGTTTCTCTACAAACAAAATCAAATTCTTCAACATGCTTTTTTTTCTTCAAATAAATCAACACATAGAACAGAATCACTAACCTTTGCATTTCAACATAAAGGATTTCACCAGAGAATGAAAAGAATTCTTCAATATCTCTCTCCGAAGTAGCCTTCGAGATATTGCTGACCTTCACAGTTCTCATCTGCATCGGATTTTAAAAACAATGAAGAAATGCAAGTGTTCGTGTTAAGATTATGTATAAAAGGTTAAATTTTCGACATCAATCAATCTAAGATTGATGTTCAAGCCTAAACCTCTGAATTTGAAGTTTTACAATGTTATTTCTTCCTCCATGAACACCGATAATTCTCGAGTCAAATGAATACTCATTTCACATGCTAAGAATATGTATAGAAGATTAAATTTTTGACATGAATCAATCTAAGATTGATGTTCAAGCCTAAACCTCTGAATTTGAAGTTTTACAATGTTATTTCTTCCTCCATGAACATTGATAATTCTCCGAGTTAAATTAATACTCAATTCACATCCTAAGAAAATGTACAAAACAAATTTAAGCTTTTGGGTTTAGGGATAATTCAACGGTTTATAACTTCCACTTCATTCAGTTCATCATCAAAGTGAAAGAACAAGGATGAGATTCAAGTAGATGATTTCAGAAAAAGAAAATTAAGAACAAAAAATTGGGTTTAGCAGTGAGTTAACCATTAGTAATTCTCACTTCCATTCAGTTCAACATTTCAAAGAGAAATCAAAATTTGAAGGAAAAAGAAGTTGGGAATTGGGATATACAGCTGAGCTGATTTGAGGAGGAGGAATAGACGAAGAGACTGTTCATGAATTATCGATAGCATGAGAATCTAAACCTTTTCTCGATAAATTCCAAATTCCAATAAGAAGCAAATCGAGCGAGAAAAATGTACGAAAGAAAACGAATGCATCAAAAGCAGTAGAAATCTTCTCACAAACTGTAGGAACAAGAGAATACAGAAACAGAGATCTTGAAAAATCAAAATCATAAACCATATGCCACATTACAATCACAAATCCCTAAATCACCATCGCAACCATTCACAATCAGGAAAAACAAATTAGCAAACGCGAATGCGGCAGATCTGCATCAAAGATTGACAGACAAAAAGAAGATGATGAACTCACCGACATTTGTGCGCGGCAAAAGAAAGGTTGGAGAGGGAATTAGGTATGGCGGAAGATGATGAGAAGAAGGCGCGAAGAGAAGATAATAAATTGTTGTGAGGAAGGGGAAGTGATTTTTGGTTTTGGATTTAGTTTTTTTGGGTAGTTTGGTTCTGGAAACGGATACGATTTGTTTGCGAAGTTTTTTCATTTTTGTTTTTTCAGTAGGAGCGACACAATTTCAGGTTTGACTTGGTTTCCTATACCTCTCTGATCTGTATATAACTGAGACGCAACTCGGTACTTTCTTTTTTAAAAAAAAAAAAAAAATTTAAAACTTCTTCTCTAACCATTTAATTCCTATATTTTAAATTTTGTAAAAATTATGTTAAAATTTATTATATAAATAGATTAATATATTAATTCAAAATTTAATGAGTTTAAGCCGTTAAATAATAAAAACGGGGGAGTGGTCTACTTGCTCAATAAGAACCTTTAGATCTAATCTTTCCAAACTATGATGGGCATGGGCCTCATATAAGGTTGGGCTTGGGCTGGAAACTTGGGCCAACTTCCTTCACTCTTCAACTCATTTTATTCTAGTTTTTTTTTTTTTTTTTTTTTTTTTTTTTTTTTTTTTTTTTTTTTTTTTTTTTTTTTTTTTT